GGAGTAGGAGTAAGAGTAGGAGTAGGAGTAGGAGTAGGTGTAGGAGTAGGAGTCAAGCTAGCCAGCTCGAGCGAGTCAAGCATGGCATGCCCAGTCCCACCCGCCCTCCCACAACATAAGAAGCAAAGCTGGCACAACTGGGGGCCGAAGTCACACCGGCCAGCCGGTTTGGTACAGCTGATGCGGCCGCGATGGCGGTTGCCGACGGGAACTGGCGAGCGCGTGTTGAATGCCGCGCACGCATTGCCAGACGAGTCGAGAATGGCCCGGTACACCGCAGGAAGCCAGAGGTGGCCGGAGGAAGCCCGACGGTCTGACAGGACACCCCAAGGGGGCCCAGGAGGCCCCAAGAGGCAGGAGTAGTAGTACCAGTGGTAGTGGTGTTGGTAGTGGTAGTGGTAGTAGTAGTACCATGTCACCCCTTCGCGCGGGGTGTGCGCCGCGTCCCATTCCTGCCACGCATTTTGCGACGTGACGACAGCACGACCATGTTGACAAGAAAAACAAAAACTGTGTATTGTCTTTTGCAGATTAGAATGGGACGGATTGGATGGGCGGGCGCGGGGTGTGCGCCGCGTCCCATTCCTGCCATGCATTTTGCGACGTGGACGACAGGACGTCCATGCGACGGTGCCAATGACGGCGACGACTCTAGAAGGATTTGAGCATGCGCTCGCGGCGACGCGCGCGCATGTCGCCCGCGTGGTATTTTTTGCACAGGATTCGCGGCCTGGGTGCATGACAGAGCATCGCGAGTGCACCGCGCGATGACGTGAAATCGCTGGATTTGACAGAATTCTTAAGATTCCTATGGTTTTCCTATGATTTCAGCAAGAGAGCCCGGGCGGGAAATTTGTAGATTTTTTTGTGAAAAAAAGCATTGGGTTTTTGATGTTTTTATGTTGAAATGCTTGCAAACACACGGTGTTCGGTAGGATTCTGACATGAACGCGCGCGTGTGCTCTTTGTGGTATTTTTTGCAATGGATTATCGCCGTGGACGACAGGACGTCCATGTCGAGAGGAAAAAATAAAAAAATGTTGATTTTGTATTGTTTTTTACAGGTTAGGATGGGACCACCCGGATGCGGCCCCTATCGGCCGGCCTGAGGGGGGAGTAGGAGTATATTCGAATAAGGAATAAGGATAGGAGGAGGAGGAGGAGGAGGAGGAGGAGGAGGAGGAGGAGGAGGAGGAGGAGGAGGAGGAGGAGGAGGAGGAGGAGGAGGAGGAGGAGGAGGGAGGAGGAGGGAGAAGCGTTCACCGATCGTGCTTAGACGAGGCGAGGACGAGGACAAAGTCGGGTGGGGATGCAGCGAGAACCTCTGAGACCCGGCGGCTCTGGAGGACGCATCGGGCGCCGCGGCCTCCTCGGAGCGCTCCAGAACGCTCTGAGAACGTTCGGGAACGCTCTGGAACGGAGTTGTCCTCGTCCGGGGCCCGTCCGACGTGCCCTCTTGGACCCCAGGGGGCCCCATTTAAGGCTCAAGAGGTGCGCCTGTCTTCGCCCCCTGTCTATCGCTTCCCCAGTACGCCCAACAGCGGATCGCCTACACCTGGGAGCGACCCTGGGCAGGACTGACCGTTGGCGCGCGGCATTCGAACCGCGGCGGGGTCAGATCCGGGTGTGCAGGCCAGTGCCGTAGGGATCCCTGTGGGCCCGCACCGCCACAGGTCACTCCAGCGAAGGGCCATTCCCCAGACCCCCGACGCCATGATTTGTTCACGGCGTCGACCCCCCGAGATCTCGTCCCAGTCCCCGGGACCGGCTTCTTCGTCCTGAGCGCCGTCCTGTGCTGGGTGGTGACGCTCATGCGTGCCACCACCCAGGGGTCGGACCCCGTTCTCGGTGGCGGTGGTCCACGTTTCTCCTCTGAGTCCATCGAGCTGCCTGAATCCCAGGCCCCCGACGTCATGTCTTCTCACGACGTCGACCCCCAGAGGTCTCGACCCATTCCCTGGGACCGGCTTTGCGTCCCGAGGCATTGCCCCACGGTCCCTAGGCCCGATGAGGGCCTCATTCTGCGCCGGAGACCGCAACAGAAAAACCGTCCGTCGTGTTTATTTCGCGACTCGGAAGGGGGTCTCCTCCTCCTCCTCCTCCTTCTTATTCTCTTCCTCCTCCACCCCTTCCTCCTCGGGTCTTCCGCGCAGCCGAGGCGGAGCCCCGCCGCTGCCTCTTCGGTCGCGGGCGGCCGCTCGCCCGGCGGTGGCGCGGCGGGGTCGAGGAAGCCCGCGACGCCAGGGGTCACGACGCCTCAGCCGCCACGACGCGCAACACGCAACACGTGGCGTGTTGACGAAACGGGGATCTATCCATATCCACCGCCCGAGAGCCGACGTCCTGGTGCCCCAGCGGGCGGTGGATATATATATATATATATATATATATATATATATATATATATATATATATCCGTATCCATTTTGGCTCAAGGTTGTCACTAGGGAGTGGCCCTTGAGTTGATTGTAAGTCTACACCCCAGCCCAGCCGCACCAGCGTGTGGCTTCGTGATTTCATCCCCTCCGGTGCCTGCTCAGCGCCCATGACGGCATGGAGTGGCCCAGGGCGCGCTGGCGGTGGCCAGGGCGCGGTGTGGCCCGCCAGCCATCCCGCCAATGGGGCACATGCCGGCTCCTCGCGGTCCTCATGGCACTCCGCGGAGTGGAGGAAGGACCCCGATGGCCGCTGGCATTGGATCGGTCAGGCTCCGGGCAGCGCTCCGCCCCGGGCCAGGCAGTGGACGTGCAAGGGGTGTGGGACCTCATGTACGACCAAGAGCGCCTGCGGCACGTGCGGCATGAAGCGCAGCTATGCGGAGGTGGCGTCACCGCCAGATGCTGCGCTGGGCCAGGGAGGAGGTCGTCCCCAGTCAGGGGTGACTACGACGACGACTTCCCCTCCTCCTCCTCCCTCGGCTGGGCAGTCCACGCGGGATCAGCTCACGGCCATCACCAACAAGCTGGCCGAGGCTCAGAAGGAGGTCACCAACCAACCTTCGCCTGCAACGACTACGCGGGCGCCCGGAGACGTCAAGGAGCTGCAGGGGGTCATCAAGCAGCTCGAGGCCACCTTGACGTCGATCCCCGAGTCCGAGGGCGAGCTCCGGGCCACCATCGAGGCTCGCATCAAGGACAAAAAGGACGAGCTGGCGGCGGGGAAGCCCGTCGGCGCTCGCCTCGACCAGGCCCGGGCGGCCCTGCAGCGCGCCCAAGGCCGGCAGCGGGACGCGCAGGCCGCTATCGAGGCCGCCGTGGCACTCAAAGCTGTGGCCGACGCGGAGGTCGCGAAGCATGCCTCCGAGGTGCACGAGCTGGAGGCCAGCCTGGTAAGGCGCTGGGTTGCATCGCAGACAGCCCGTTGGAGTAGCCCGCCGTGGTCTCAACACCCGGCCCGCCTAGTCCTGCGAGGTCTCGACTCCGCCCTTTGGTGGTTGAGAAATTCTTGTTTTTGTGAAGATGCCCACGGCGTCGCGACTCGCGATTGCGAGGGGAGGGAGGCGGAGGGGAGGCATCGGGGGATGAAGGGGTGCTGTAGGAAATTTACAGGTTGCGGGACAGCACGCACTTGAAAACACGCGGGCGTAGGTTTCAAGTTGCGCGCAGCGTTGTCGGATCCCCAGCATGTAGCCAGCAGCTAACTAACAGCAGGGCGCAAAATTACGAGGCATTGCCATGGCGAGCGTACATCAACAGCCATGGCCGAAACGTAGCACCCCGCAATTGTGGATTAGAGTGAGGAGGCGGGCGTCGGGTGGGTCGCGGGGTGGGTCGCGGGGTGGGTCGTGGGTGGGTCGTTGGTGGGTCGCGGGGTGGGTCGTGGGGCGGGTCGCGGGGCGGGTCGCGGGTGGGTCACGGGTGGGTCGCGGGGTGGTCGCGGGTGGGTCGCGGGTGGGTTGCGGGCTGGTCGCGGGCGGTTTGCGGGGGGGTCGACGACAAGGCCACAAGCAGAATCCTCACCGCGGATCCCCAGTTCAGCCACGCACACAGGGGCAGTAAATTACCGTTCGGCCCCTTCGGTCTGATATACATATCCATGTGCCTTCGGGAACCGCTGCCCCCTCTCCCTTTCCGTTGCCATTTGTGGCCCAAGCCATCTGCATTTATCATGTCTTCGGTCGATGGGGATTCGGCCGACAATCGACCTGAGAGCGTCGATGGCGAGTCGCCTCCTCGTCGCCCGAGAGGGCCGAGAGTCGAGGCGAGGAGCGACCATGATGAGAAATTCGGATTCCCGCAGATTTTCTGCGTGGTGCAGGATTCGGCTGATGCCCCCAAAGACGTCTGTCTTGTTCGAGGGTGCCTCTTGGGGCACTGGGAGTATCTAGCCGACAGCATCGATGACAGCAGCGAGGCCCTTTCTTCGCTCGTCTGCGCAGTTATCCGCGCCATGCGCCCCAGGCCAGTTCATGCAGTAATCGCTTACAGAGTGAGGGTGGTAGTGGACTTCCAGGACCTGGTTTCGCTTGACAGTGCCGCGGGAGAGGAGAAGATGTACCGTTTGTTATCGGACCGCCCAGCTCTTGTTCGCAGGCCTGCAGGCCAAGTTTACAATCCCAAGTCTTTGCGGGAATGTGTTCCGATATTCAAGAGGGATTGGGATCTTCAGTGCGCGCGACTGCATCGCGTCAGGCTGAGTACCGACATCGTTTCCTCAATATTTGACGGGGCGTGGGATTACTTCCATGCCGCTGGCGTGTCACAAAAGGCGCCTCCTGGTCGACTTCTGCCCGGCGGGGGGCCGCCCGCGAGCGCGCTGAGAGGCTGGGTCCGTGCGTCCAGGGGTTGCGCCCCTTTGACCCTGCCAGCCTGCTCCCCGCGCGAGTGCGGCCCTCTGAGAGGGGCAGCTCCCGTAGGAGATATTTTGAGATTGTTGGACGCAACACGGGAAAACCAAACTCTTCGCCGCAGTGGCATTTCCAAAAGGAAATGGGCAGCTGTGTTTGCGCGCGGAGTGCCAGAGGAAATCGAAAAACTTTGCGCCGCGGCCCCCGACGCTCCTTACGACGTGCTCCGCACTGGGCGCGTGCGCCTCGATTGCATGGCGATGTTGATTATGAGGAGTGCGTTCATGACAATGGATTTGGTGGCTGCGAATATCTATGTTCACACGGATGGTTCCCCGCAGTGGCGGGGCGTGGAAATGGTAGCTTCGTCGTTTGACATAGTGACGCGGGAGCCTGACTTTCAGATGGATCGGCGGTTGTTCCCCATTATCCGGATATCCAACAGGCTCTTCTCGGCGGTCGGGAAATGCTTATGTTTGTTGTGGCAGTTTTTTCTCGTAGTTGGGCCGAGCTGTTTCCGATTGCGGTCGGTGCTTGATCGGGTGCGGTCTCTCACGACCGATTTGGGCACAGAGCGCAAATTGGTTGCCATGCCAGATGTGTTGCCTGAGTTTTGTGCGTATCTGGGGATTCCGGTGCCTGCTGCCTACGATCGCCGGCCGCGTCTGTACCCCCGCGCCCTGCAAAGCGCGGGGTGGAAGCATATCGTGGACGGCATCATCAAGTACAGTTGCTGTTCTCTGCCGTGGTTCCCAAAGTTTTTGAGATCAGTGAAGGCCGTCGGAACGTTCCTTCGGAATTATACTAGCGATATCGCTCAAGATTTGAATGATGCAGGCCTTCATGCTGCAGCCAGTCTGCTGCAGGCTGCGCGGCCGCCGAACTTCGCGAAGTGGAGGTGGGGGACTTTGCACGACGCCTGCAAGGAAGTCGGCTGCGTCTTGGTTACTCTGCGGTCGGTTTGGCCCAACATTAAATTTTACAGGGATCTGCGTGATAAAGACATGCTCCAGCATGTGGCGCATGCTATGCGCGACGCCATGTGGGCTCGGCAGCTGACTTTCGTCACGTGGTTCGCAAAAGAGCTGTCTCATCTCATGGGTTGGGGTGGCTCCTGCATCTGCCACCAAGAAGAGTACCGATCAGGAGTGCAAGTCGCCTGCCCTCACAAAGGGCGATTGCTTCCATTCGCACACGCGAAGGCTACCCAAGTGTTCGAAGGCATGCTGGCCACTGCCCTCAATTGGACCGCTGCGGATTACGACGATGCCCCGGAGATCTTCCTGGCACAGATTCAGGGAGCTGTAGGCGCTGCCGTTGGCCTAGGCAGACGGAAGGTCGCCTTCTTAGACAAGATACCGCATCTTATCTCTAGGCTTGGGGAACCTGGCGTACGGGATCGATGTATTCGGCAGTGCAGTGAGCAGACCCCTGCACAAAGGCACGACGTGTCGAATGAGTTTTTTGGCGACTCTTCGCCATTGCGCGCTGACGTTGAACAGTTGGGGGCGGACGGCAGCAACATGTCAGTCCGGCTCCGACGAGAGGTGGATTCGCTTATCGATATCCCTTTTGATGACACTGTGGCAGAGGGCCCGCACGCCTCTGCCCAACGCGCTGGGCAGAACAGGCGCGCGGCTCGGTGGCCCTTCATTGCGTCCACGCTGCGGCTAGACCAGAACTTGGCAGAGGTCCAATCTAGCGGATCGCACGGAGCGGCTGACACACAGCACTTATGGAACACGTACAAGTCGGTCTTGCAGACAAGACCCGGCAGGGAAGGGCGTCCCGTGCGGATGTCATTCCGACGCTTCGCAGGCCGCGTGTACTGCATGATTGCTGCGGGCGGCTTCTCTGCAGAGGCCGCCGCAGAGGATGGCGCGGACGGCGGTGGCGGGGACGACGCCCTTGGCGACGCGTTTCAGACCCAGGATGGTAAATTGATGTTCGATTTCCTCGAGAATTCCGTGCCGCGGTATTCGTATGTGACAGTGCCTGCTGAAGATGGCGAGCAGTGCCCCTTCCACTGCTTCCAGGTCCTTCACAAAGCGAAGAGGATTATCACAGTTAGGACCGATATTGAGGCATCGCCAACTCCGTCCCCAGATTGGCCCCTCCAGCGGAATCCGAATCCCAGGCCGGCAGCCGCACCACTCGCGAGAGTCAGTTCGCTCGCGTCCTTCCCTGGGCCCTGGGCGCCAATTCGTGGCTGTTGCTTTTACGCAGTGCAGGTGGCTTCCCGCAACCTCGAACGAGGTTGGCCGCGAAGCTGCCCGCGATGCCGCGCGACAGCTTGAGCCGTCAACGCCCGGCACCCTTGCGCGCCCTTGAACATAGCTTGCGCCCAAGTTGCCACGGACGGCGAAGGGGAGGAGGGAAGAGAGGAAGTGGAAGGGGAGGAGGAATACATGACATGGCGATAGATTGAAGGGAGGAGCATGGACTGCGGCTGGCGAGCCAGCGAATGGGA